CTCTCTCTCTCTCTCTCTCTCTCTCTCTCTCTCTCTCACACACACACACACACACACACACACACACACACACACACACCCATATGCACTCACCTATGTGTGCACACACAAATCCACACAGAAAGAACTTTAAATATATGCATATTTATAAAAATATATTCATGCATGTTTATATTTGTAGGCAATGAGAGAACTGAAAAAATAAAGAAAAAAAGTAAAATGAAAAACATTTCTTAGCCAGTGGTGGTGTCCACAGCACACACCTTTAATTCCAGCACTCTGGAGACAGAGGAAGGCAGATCTCTATGAGTTCAAGGCCAGCCTGGTCTACAGAGTGAGTTCTAGGACAGCCAAGGGTACACAGAGAAACCCTGCCTGGAAAAACCAAAAAGAAAAGACAAAAGAAAAAATGAAAAACATTTCGTGTAAGGGCTGGAGAGATGGCTCAGCTGTTAAGAGCACTGGCTGCTCTTCCAAAGGATCCAGGTTCAATTCCCAGCACCCACCCACGTGGCAGCTCACAACTGTCTGCAACTCCAGGTCCAGGGGATGCAATGCCCTCTTCCAGCCTCCACAGGTACTGCACACACATGGTGCACAGACCCCTCCCCTCGTGGATCAGGGATCTACGTGGAAGAAGATTCAGAAAGAGGTGAGAGCCAGAAGGGAAGGATGACCCTAGGAATCGGTGTCCTCCAGACACAGCAGAACTGACTCGGAGACTGTGGTAGCAATCCCAGCCCTGCACAGGGTGGAGCCAGATGGGGTCGTCCAGCACTGAGAGGGGGAATGGACATGAGGTCCCAACCTTAACCAAGAAGCTCTCTGGAACTGAGAGCTGGGGAAAGGGAAAATCAGGTTTGTCGGAGGGATCTCACTGGGTACATCAACCACATCCCAGGGAAGGCCCTATGCCCGGGAGTGGTTGGTCAACATTTTGTTTTGTTTTGGCATTTTTTTTTTCTTCAAGACAGGGTTTCTCTGTGTAGCTCTGGCTGTCCTGGAACTCACTCTGTAGACCAGGCTGGTCTTGAACTCACAGAGATCCGCTTGGCTCTGCCTCCCGAACGCTGGGATTAAAGGCATGCGCCACCACCACTCAGTGATTTTGGCTTTTTTTTTTTTTTTTGTCTTTTACTTATTTGTTTTGATTTTCATTTTTGTGTTTCTTGAGGTTTTTTTTGTTCTGTTTTGATTTTAGTTCTTGTTTTGTGTTTGTCTTTAAAGAGAGAGAGAAAGAACACAAAGTTAGGTGGATAGGGAGGTTGGGAGAATATGGGAGGAGTTGAGGGAGAGGAACACATGATCAAAATATATTGTATGAACATTGTTTACTGTTATAAATAAATAAATAAATAAATAAATAAATAAATAAATAATAAATCCGCACACAACACTTACCTCTGTAAAACAAGAGGGAAGAGAGAGAAAGGAGAGGTTACCCACAAAGGGTGGGCAACTGGCAGCCTTCTCAACAAAAGAAGACAGGAGCTCATTGCTGTGATATTGTGTGCGGGGGAACCTCCCCGCTGGCTGGACCAGGGTGTCCCAACGTGAGGGAAAACATGCTGGGCAGATGTGGTGGCAGAGGCGGCGTGTCAACCCAGGCACTGCATCCTCAGCAATGAGTTTATTATAATAGAGAGATGAAGAGAAAGATAGGGAAAAAACAGAAGGAAGAGAGAGGAGGAGCGGGAGGGGGTCAAGGGTGCACACCTCGTGGGAATGGAGAGAAGGAGAGCAGAAGAGAGAGAAGGGAAAGGTTTTTCCTTAAACCAGGCTTTTACATCAGAACGCAGGGCAGTCCCAAGGGGCCGGTTTTCAAGAGGCGAGTTTCCAAGGGGTGGCTCAGAATATTAACACTCATGACTATAATCATCCAGATGTTGATGGGAGACAACTGTTGGCCTAGCACTGGAAACCCTTGAAACTGTCTCTCCCCAGTGACGGTGAAAAATGATCGTCTGCCCCTGAGAACCCTGCGCTAGCCTGGAGAGGTGACTCAGAGGTCAAGGGTGCAGATCCCAGCTCACGACCATCTGCAACGCCAGTTCCAGGGATCCACTGCCCTCTCCTGGCCTCTGTGGGCACCAGGCACACAAGTGGCACCTGAGTAAGGAAAACTTGACTCAGAAGAATAAAGATGCAAGGTGTAGCAGCCCCCAGACCTTAGCACAACTGACTCCATGATGGAGGTACCATTCAGGCTATAAAACCCAGGACCACCTGCCAAAACTAAAACAAAGACCTACTCCATCAAAGGCCACATAGTTCTGGGAAAGTCTTTAGTATACTAACCCTGCTTTTCAGCTTCTGCAGTTCTGCTTTTGACTAACTGTTCTCGTGAACTGAAGCATGTCAGCCCAGAACATGGCTTTGTGTTTAAAAGATCACCCTGTGAAAGGTTCAGGGCTACACTGGGGTACTGAACACCCAGTGTAGTCCCCAGCCAGCTGATAAAGACTTCCTATTGGCTTAAACCCACGTCGTCGTCGGAGAACTCTTCTGTGGTGAATACCTCACAAGACAAAGTAAATGAGGGAACGCTGCCGGGCAAGTAGCACAAGCCTGGATCTCAGCCTCCTGGGGGCTGAGACAAAAAAACTGCAGCACATCTGGACCCGGCCAGGACTACATAACAAGACCCGGTGCTGGAGGGGAACTGAGAGGTCTACATCTGGATCAGCAGGCAGCAGGAAGAGAAGAGAGGCACTGGACCAGACTTGAGCTCAAAGCCACCCCCAGTGACACACTTCCTCCAACAAGGACACACCTTTTCGTTGTTGTGGGGTGATCTTTCTGTTCACTGTGAAGACAGGTCTCTGTTTTGCCCCAATCTGCCTGGGGTGCCTTCTGATTGGTTTAGTAAAGAGCTGGATGGCCCATAGCTAGGCAGGAGAGGATAGGCGGGACTTCCGGGGGGAGAGAGAGGAACTGGAAGGATCTGAGCCCTGTGGCTTTGCCAGTGAGATGCAGAGTGAGTCGGATGCACAGGGCAGAGGATCATAAAGAGCCAGGTGGTAAAACACAGATTAATAGAAACGGGTTAATTGACGTTATAAGAGCTAGTTGAAAACAAGCCTCAGGCCTAGTTTTCATAATTCATGATTAAGTCTTTGTGTCATTATTTGGGGGCTGGTGGTCCAAAGAAAGTCCAACAAGAAAGAGCTGCTACACCTAATAGTGCCGCTCCCTATGGGGCCCTTTTCATTCAATCCACCACAGTGCTCAAAATATATTCCGTGAAATTCTCAAAAGACAATAAAATATTATATTGGGAAAAGGAGGGAGAAAGGAAGGAGGAAAAGAGAGAGGAAGAAGGGAGAGAGGAACAAAGAGAGACAGAGAGAGAAACCTTGCCTCTCTTCAGGGATTTCTCCACACTCCCTGCTTCCCCCCACCCCCGCCCCCATACTTCTGCGCCCTCCCCCACACTTGGCCCCAGAGGGACATGTTTGCTCCACCCATGGACCCAAATGGACAGACCGTCATCCTCTGAGCTCTGTGGTTTGCCTTGGCCTCACTCTAAGAATTGTACATCGCATGGCTTTGGACAAATTGATCCCACATAGAACGGTTTCACCGATGGGACCAAATCCTTCATGCTCTTCCTCTTCCTTCGGGCCATCCTCTCATCTTTCTACCGTTTCACAGCTTTGGCTTTCCCAGAAGGTCCCACAGTCAGAGGGACTGTCCAAACGCTTTGCTGTCCCCTCTCCCCTAGTCGTATGCACTCGAGAGTTCTCGGTGTCGCCAAGACTAGAAAGCTCATTTCTTCTCAGCACTCGATAATATTCCATTGTCTGGAGAGTCCGGACCATCACCCCTTGAAGGCACCTTCATTATATACCAAGCTTTGGCAATTTGGATGAAGCTGATACAAACATTTTTGTTCAGGTTTCATGTGGTTCGAAGATTTTGTTTAATTTAGCTAACCACCAAGGGTCTGGGCTGCTGCCCCACAGGGTGACAGGATCTCACTTTTGTGGGGAATTGCTGAAGAGACTTCCAGCCCGGCTGTGCCATTCCGCCCTCCCACAGGCAACAAACGGGCCCTTCTGTTCATCCTCGTTAGATTTGGGATGCTTCTTCGTTCAAGGACTTTGGGTTTCCCAGGTATGAGACGATGCTGTCTGGATCGTTTCTTCCTTTGGTGTCAGCATCTCTCTGTTCTAGTTTCTGCCAAATCCAGAAAAACATTAACTAACACCTGTGAGGTGCTTATCTCTCTCTTGTTCCCACATCAGACTAGGGAACGCTCTTATTTTGTGCCCATAAAGCATGATGTTGGCTCTGATACTATGATAAACATACCCCCCCCAAGACAGGGTTTCTCTGTGTAGCTCTGGAGCCTGTCCTGAAACTCACTCTGTAGACCAGGCTGGCCTCGAACTCACAGAGATCTGCCTGCCTCTGCCTCCCGAGTGCTGGGATTAAAGGCATGTGTCCTACCACCTGGTTTATTTCATTATTTTTGAGACAGGGTCTCTCACTCAGCCTGGTGGTCATTGAATCAGCTAGAGCAGCCGATCCACCTGTCTCCCCTCCACCCCACAGTAGTTGGGGTTACAGGCTGCCTGCTGCCACACCCGGCTTCTTACTTGGATGCTGAGGATCCGAACTCAGGCCCCATGCTTGTGCGGCAGACCCTTCCCATCCCCCAGCCCTGACCTTTTATTTACTCATTTGGTAGTATGATAAATTACATCAACTTCCTGGTAGTGAAGCTTTTATTTTGTTTTTGAGACAGCGTTTCAATCTATAGCCCAGGCTGGCTGAAATTCACTATGTAGCCTAGGATACCCTCAAATTCATCATCCTGCCTCCTAAGTGCTAGGATTACAGGCTTATGCCATCATGCCCAGCTGAACCATTCTGATATTTCTGCAAGGTAACTTATTTTTATTTATTTCATTTTTTATTTATTTTTGAGACAGGGTCTCTGTGTAGTCCTGACTGCCCTGGAACTCTCTCTGTAGACCAGACTGGCCTCAAATTCAGATATCCACCTGCCTCTGCCTCCAGAGACTGGGCTCAAGGGTGTGTATCACTGGGCTGGAGAGACGGCTCAGGGGTTAAGAGCACTGACTGCTTCTCAGAAGGACCCAGGTTCAATTCCCAGTACCCACATAGTAGCTTCACAACCGTCTGTAACTCAAGTTCCAGAGGATACAGACATACATGTAGGCAAAACACCGATGCACATAAAATAAAAATAAATAAATCTTTTTTTAAAGATGTACATCACTATGCCTGACTAATTTTTTTTTTTTTTAATTTCTTAGAGAGCCCTGTAACCCCTTTGAGAGCCTGGCTGTAACCCCAGCTCTCGGGAAGCTGAGTCCTGCCGCCTCACTATGCAGGAAGACCTCATCTCCTAAAGAAAACAAACCAAGCCGGGCAGTGGTGGTGCACGCCTTTAATTCCAGCACTCGGGAGGCAGAGCCAGGCGGATCTCTGTGAGTTCCAGGTCAGCCTGGGCTACCAAGTGAGCTCCAGGAAAGGCGCAAAGCTACACAGTGAAACCCTGTCTCGAAAAACCAAAAAAAAAAAAAAAGAAAGAAAGAAAGAAAACAAACCAAAACAATTAAATTTTGTTTCTCCCCCTTAGCCCTTAAAAAAGCAGCTGCAGAGTCCCAGCAGATACAAAACCTTAGGGAACCCTCAGGAAGAATGGGAGGAAAGCCTGAAGAGCCAGAGGACGAGGGAGTTTGCTGTGAGACTGTGTCCCCTAGTAATGTCTGAAGACACATAAGGTCTCACCAGCATGACTGGCCAGACGTGAGCTGAACAGGGAAGACACCCACAGACATGTCAAAGTGGATGAGGACAAGGTTGAGGGGCCTCACCCTACAAAGAAGAGAGAGAGAGAGAGAGAGAGAGAGAGAGAGAGAGAGAGAGAGAGAGAGAGAGAACCAACTGGTTATCCAACGCCAATGGTCAGCCCTGAAAACACACATGAGTAACATTATATGGACTGAGCAGGTTGTATCTCTGTATTTAGTAATACGTTATGTATATACATATGTGCACATAACAGCAATCAATGAAAAGACAAGGCCGTGAATTTGAAAGAGAGAGCAAGAAAGAGAATATAAGAAGGTTTGGAGGGAGAAGGGGGAGAGGAAAATTGTGTAATTATAATCTCAAAAAATAGAAGAAATAGTTTTTAAAAAGGAAAGGAAAAGGGGCCACAGGAGCAGAAATTCAATGGACCCTAGAAGGAAAAAGTGACCCCCGCAGCAAGTGAGCGGAGACCTCACAACAGCTAAACAAAGTTCTTATCTGAGCCCTTGCTGTGTGAGCACCAACCACTCGGCGTTCCGGCCACTCCGCGGGGAAGAGACCGGCCGGCGGACCTCCTGTATCAGGACAAATGCCCTTTTGACCTTCAGGTCAATCCAGGGGCTCTTTAGTGAGGACCTGGCTGAAGCCGCGCACCCAGCCCTCGGGGGAGTCACCCCACTCTTAGGGTCATGGGCAATCCTGTTAATGGTTGGAGACCTTCCTGATGTATCTCAGCGTCTTTCACAACGCTGGGGGCCCAAAGCCCTGCCTGTGGGCGCCAAGAAGCAGGGAACTGAAAGTCGGTGTCACGTGCGCACGGCTTCCCCTTGGATGAGAAAGGCTCCTGGGAGCCAGGGAAACCTGCCCAGATGACAAACAGGAGGCCTCACTTCGTGGCTCAAACCTCTGCGACCTTGGCTGGCTCTCACCCGAAGTTCTGCAGCTCCCTCCGCCCAGCAAGGGTCCCCATGTTTCTGGCAGCAAGACCTGAGGGTTACAAGTTGCACAGGATTCCAGGAGGGAGCCCTCCATCCATCTCCATCCATGCCAGACACAGCCCTGGGCCTTGGGTCACCCCGCAGCCAGGGCTGCACAGAGAATCCCGCCGGCTGGTAAGGGAATCTCTGCAGGTGAATCTGCAGACAAGGGGCAGCATTTAACCGACATAAGTGCCCAGGGCAGAAGACTAGCTAGACATGCATTAGCAGAACCGTATGAAATGGCCGATTTAAAAAAAAAAAAAAAAAAAAAAAAAAAAAGCAGCATCACTAGCAAGATTCAACCAGATCCCACTGCTGCCTTTGAGACGGAAACACTCACAGAAGCGGATCCATGGTGCCACCTAGTGGCTCTAACGAGAGAACGGTCTGCTTCACTGATGGCGACAAACAACTGACCCGGGGCACTCCCACTGGGAACGGGGTTTCACAAGCTAATTGAAAAGGGCACGGACTCTGGGCACAGCCACAGCACTTAGGTGATACAAGCTTCTTTCCTGAGGTAAAGGAAGGCACTCCTGTTGGTTTCCTTTTAGCGATGAGAAAAATCAAGTCTACAGTGATGTGTGACCCTGGGCAGGTCCTCCAGCCCAGTCCCGCAGAGCCAGGCTTGAGCTCAAGGCTTCCAAGCCAGACACCAAATGTTGTGAGGCCCCATGGAGGGCACACACACCTGAATATCTTCACATGGAACCATGAAGGCGGGTGCTGTTTGTTTTTGTGAGACAGGGTTTCCCTGTGTAGCCCTAGCTGTCCCTGGAACTTGCTCTCTAGACCACACTGGCCTCGAACTCAGAGACCTAAAGCAGGTATTATTAAATTGCTTTAGAAGGGACTGGAGAGATAGCTAAGAGCACTGATTTCTCTTCCAGAGGACCTGGGTTCAAGTCCCAGCACCTACAGGGCAGCTCACAACTGCCTGTAACTCCAGTTCCGAGATTTCTTCCTCCCTCTTCAGACAGGAATGTAGTGCACAGATATACATGCAGGCAAAATGCCTGTGCACGTTAAATAAATAAATCCATTTTATAGTGTTTTTTAGAGTCTGCGAGATGGCTCAGCAGGTAAAGGTGTTTCTTGTCAAATCTGACTATCAACACACACACACTTTCTATAAATAAATAAATAAATAAATAAATAAATAAATAAGTGGGTTTTTTAATTTTTGGTTGCTTGTTTTTTATTTTATTGGGGTTGTTTTTTTGTTTTCTGGTTTGTTTTGTTTTGTTTTGTTTTGAGACAGGGTTTCTCTATGTACCTTGGGCTGTCCTGAAATTCACTCTGTAGATCAGGCTAGCCTTGAAGCCTTGAACTCACAGAGATCCTCCTGCCTCTGCCTCCTGAGGGCTGGGATTAGGTATGTGCCACCACCACTTGGGAAATGTTCTTTAAATTTTAAAAACATGGGCTGGCAAGATGACTCAATGGTTAAGAGCACGTAATGCTCTTGCAGAGGACCAGCACCCACATGGTGGTTCACAACCATCTGTAACTCCAGTTCCAGGGGACCTATGCCCTTCTAACTTCTGCATGCTCCAGGCATGCACGTGGTACTCTTTTATATATTCAGGCAAACACAAACAAATCTTTAATTAAAAGACTAATCAGAACTTGGTGTCATTCAAATTGAATGTTCTTAATTGAAATTTTTTTATTGGCGATAAAAACAAACAACAACAACATTCACTGAACCGAATGGCAGGCACACACATTTGGTGTTGTGTATTGTGTGTGTGGCTGCTTCTTCAACCTGTAAAACACAGAGGCAAAGGGAAGAGGCTGTGGTTGACTGCCTGCGGCCTGGTAAAGCTGTGCTTAGGGCAGGGGGCTCCCCAGAGTCCAGTCAGAGCCATATGTCAGTCTCTGTAGCGATCCTGTGGGCTGACCCCTCAGGGCACTAATGACCCAAGAAAGTCTGGGTTACGTCACATTGTCTGTCTCCAGGACACGGAGCCGTGTGACTCCTCAAGGTGACCGTGTGGTATGGCAGATAGGGAAATCAAAGAACCCAGAGAAAAGACAGCTTGCTAGGGGTCACAGTTGTAGTTGGTGGAGAGCTAGGACCTATTTCCTGGTTCTGACACTGTCCCAAGTACTTCCGGCCCCTCTAGGAGGAGGTGGACCTGCTACTACTACTTTCAACCGGATGAGACAGGAAAACCACAATGGACCTGAACCTAGAGGTCAGCTGTTCCTAGAGCCTGGCATGACTCAGGCCTTTGTATCCCCCTGTACAACCAGGGAGAGAAAGAAGGGGTGGGATGTTGTAGAATGTTATTTTAACTGTGCAAAGATGTTTTACATTTGTTTATGCTACAGAATATTACTTTAACTGTGTAAAGGTATGTTACTTTCGTTTCTGCTGCATTTGTTTAATTCTGTAAAGATGTGTTG